GTGGTCAAAGTGCAAAAGAATCAAGGCCCTGTGCTCACCGTATCCTATGGGGCATATCTTATCTTGGCTTTTTCTTAAAGGAAAATGAACTTCCGGTCCTTCAAGTCGTTGTAAATATATATACACGACAACAGTGGTTCTATCAAAATGAAATGAATCACAGACTTTATAGAAATGAAAAGCTGTCTGAGAGCTACATTTATACTTACTGGAGCCCCAACTAGCAAAAATTACAGAAAGGAAGCTGGCATGATAACAGAGTCCTATCTGCAGCTAATTGGACATCTGTTCCACTGATACACTGCACATAACATGAATTATATAAGAAACGCTCCAACAACCAGCATACACAGGGTAGTTAATGAAGGCGTTGCGTAACGCGTGAAGAAATAACCGAAGAACGAACATGATGGCAGCGAAAATAACACCTGAGGACACGAGGTCACCGCATCAGAACAACAGAGAACAAACCAGGACGAAACAGCCGTTAAAATGAAATAACAGAGAGACTTTAAGCTGAATGTGAAGCTGCATGATTATCTCATCGATGTGCCCACACTGTGTCTCAACAGCGGCCTCGTGTCAAGGACTGCATCCCCGATTTCATCCAAAAACGGTTATGATTCTTGGCTTGCTCCCACTAGATATGCAGTATCAGCATCAGATTCAAAGTGCAAAAGATTTTTATCCAGCCTAGAAAAAATATTCAATTAGACAGAGTCATACAGGGGAAGTAACAGAGTAAATATAAAAAAATAAAATCTGGATTTGGGCAGAACTAATACAGTAAGTGAACACAAGCTTCAACATGAGGGCGTCTTTATTCATTTAAAGGTTCAGTTGTGTATTTTTGTGAATGTAGTCTATTTATGTGATCAAACTAGACTTGGTGTCCTACATTTAGTCCTAGAACTTGCCTGAAGTCTCAAAGCTGAGTTCATGCACAGGTTGCTTAATTATTAGTTGATGCATTCATGAAGTGTCCTATATATGAATATGTCATCTCTAAGGGCAATTTTTCTGCAAGAGGAGTACTTTTATTTTGACTACAGTCCTCGTGCACTCTCATTAAAATAAAATAACTGCAGTAGATTGCACCTTAAATGGAGTATTTTCACATTGTGTTATTGGTACTACTCTACCAGAGAGCTCATGTCTTCAGCTACGCCAGCAGTCATGCATTCGTCATGTGTTCACCTCCAGCAGGTCCTGGTTTGGTGAAAATCCCTCAAAGTTTACCTGAAAGCCTCCTTGACCAGATGGTGATGGAATTATTATCCACATCTTGCCCCGTCTCTGGCACCACTGACAAGTTCTGTACCGAAGCAGCAAGTTTTGGTTCGTTATTTTAAAGACCCCATTTGGTTAAAAAAGAAAAATCTAAATGAACACCTTCTACTGTGTTATCATGTCCATTTAATGCTGAAAGACACATCACGAGGAAAAGCAGTTAGAAGTCGTCACTGAGCATTTCCACCTTAGAAGTGCAGGTGAATGGATTACAGTCTCAGAAACACAGATTCAGATTTTAAGGGTTTCACACGAGGAAACAGTCCTCTGAGTTTACAAGGTGGGTTTTCAACATGCATGTAGATGTAAGAACCTGTCAGGTGGGCTGGTGTGCTCGAGCTGCAGCGGCGAGAGGTGGGACTTCGTAGATCTGCACCATCTGAGAGGAAGCAACCAGAAGAAACAGACGTTTTGAGGCATGACGTGATTGTTTTCATTCAAAAATAAACTTCTAAATATGTAACTTTAATGTGTTTTAATGGGTTTAATCAGTGGTCTGGGGGTTTCTGGACTGTGGGAGGAAGCCGGAGAGACGTGGATAACATGGAGACTCCACGCAGAAACATCCCGGCTGTCCTCGTTCCTGCAGAGTATTCAGTAATCTGATTGCAGTGGGAACAAGTGCGTATCTGTAACGTGTACTCCTGATCTTTTGTGGTCTGGACCGTGTGACCTGAGCACTGAGAACACACTGTAGGCAAAGGACGTGTAAGAAAGAGATTTAATGGCTTCAAGACAAAACACTACTTGTTTTATACTCCAATAAAAAAAAAAAAAAAGACCAGTGGCAAATCAAACAAGCCTATCTGTGACTCCAGAGCAGACAGCACCACCTTTAAAGCACCACAGCTGCCAACTTAATGCATCAGGAGACAGCAGCTTTTCCCTCGGGTGGAGGTTTATTTTGGACCCCAGGTCCTCAGGCTGACACCTGATGGGGAGGTGAGCGGATCGATACTTCCACAGCTGATCCACGTGACCGGCCTCATATATACAGAGAGACGGAGGCAGGAGGCAACACAGCTGCAGCTCCGGGATCCACACCTGCACTCAGTGTCCACCACACAGAGGACGTCCTCCTCCCCACGTCCACGTCCACTCCCCCGCGCCCTGGGAGCGCACAGCCGCGCTCCGCCCGTTGGCTCCTCCCCGCGCTCCTTAAAGGCCGCCTCGGCTCCCAGGCTGCTGCTGTTGACGGCAGTCATGACAGAGGAGCTGTAGGCTCGGATCTCCTCACACCGACACAACATCTCAGGTCCCCCTCTTTTTTTTTTTCTTTTTTTTTTCCTTCTGGGATCCTTCTCCGGGTGTCTCACCATCCAGCCAGCCTCAGCTATGAAGACCATCCTCGCTGCATACTCCGGCGTCCTCAAAGGTAAGACGGTGTTTGGAGACGTAGGCGGGCAGAGATGGGAGTCAGGAGGAGGTCGGATGTTGTCATTCAAACTAATCATTATTATAGTGACAGACTTCTGTTCAGGGGGATGATGCTATCTAAAGCTGGATGGTTGTGAGACACCAGCAGGTGAAGCTGCTGCAGATTTAAAATCCTTCACAGTGAACTGGAGCTCTGGATTCAAGTTCTGTGACTGTGTTTTACATGCATCCTGCAGTGAAACAAGAAGCTAGAGAAGTGTGAGCTTCTTGTTTAGACACACACACAAGAAGTCGCTTGTTTCTTCTGTGCAAACTCATTTTTTATTAATTTTCTGCATAATTGACCAGCAGTAGCTCACAGGATCAGTCAAACTGTCACATGAGAGATGCAACACATTCAGTTGACTTTCAGTGGAGGCACTGCAGTGAATGAATTTAGAGTCTTTAATAGTAAATACAGTACAATCAATTAGCATTTTTCTGTTTTGTCAGTATAGTAAAGTGATCAATCAGCGTGATCGATAAGTTTGGACTGCTCAGAATTTCCCTGAATGAGGAATTGATCCTTCAGCTGGAAGCAGTGTCGGGTTAAGACTTGCAGGCTTTTAATTTTCAACTCTGATAAATGTCAATGAATTGATTTGTGGTGGACGGATCAGAGATGTCGGTCAGTTTAAAGGATTGGCTCATATTTTCTGATCTGTGTTGATGCGATACGAACTCGAATACTTTCTACTGTCCCACTCTTGACACAGAAATCTATTTCTAAAGTGACTTTGTTGTGGTGATGAGAAGCAAAACTCACAATCCTTGCTGTCATAAATGAATCCTGCTGAAAAATCACCAGAATTGCACAAGTCAGGTGCAATCGATGACAGTTGTGGGGAAACTCTCCCTCTCTGGGTTTCTGTCCCTTCACTGCACACAGTTAATATTAACGTTGGATGAACTCTCATATTTATTTTACGTAAAAATGAGGATTTGTCTCCCATTACTTCTAGTCTGAACAAAGCCCTTTAACTCTTACAGCGAACACGTGGGTCTATATTGCTTTAGGAGTCAGACGTGAGTCCAGGTGGACTATCTGCAGGTTGTAAGAGCAGCCCTTGGTCCCCCTGTTGGCTCCGTCTGCAGGACTCTGTTTGTGCTCCTCTCTGGCTGCTGACCAGTTTGATCTGGCTCTCAGTGGGACTCGCAGCACTGACTGTGAGGGGGCAAATTCAGCCATCGCCGGCTGAATTCTGGCCAACTTTCTGCAGCGGCAGCCCTCAGGAGTCACAGCATCATAGTTTACAGGTATTACCAGCAGAATCCCTGCGCCGGGTTATTTTCAGTGAGCACAGATGGGATTAGATGACACTGTTTTCCTGGAGGGGAGATCTTCTTCTTATTGGCTGTCAGCGGTACAGGCTTGACTAGCTTTAGTTGCTCTTAACGTGTCCGTCGCTTTACACACAACGGCTCCTCTCTCTAACAGGCAGATGACTGAGAAGTGCTGGTGAGTATCTGGGATGTGTATTGACGTCGAGCCGTCTGGTGGATCCGTCGGACGCTGTTTTAGGAAATCATTAACTTTCTGCTTTGTTAGACGTCCACCTTTGGTTTGGGGGTAACTCAGATCAGTACAGGAAAGTGCTTCCGCCAAGACGGTCCAAATGCTTCTCCTGCTCGTCTGTTGCTTCTTGATTCACACTCTCCCGGCTCTGCTCTGCCTCCAGGCACCGGCTCCAGCATCCTCTCCGCCCTGCAGGACCTGCCCTCTGCCATCTGGCCCTGCCAATCCAAGATGGAGAAACATCTGCAGGTCATCTCTGTGCTGCAGTGGGTCGTCTCCTTCTTGGCCCTGGGTGAGTGAAGGCAACATTTCACTTAAGCAGAGAGACCTACAGGAGAGAGAGCTCATTAGTCTCACAATAAGGAGGTCAACTGACTAAGCTGCACACACGTGCTCATTCACGACTTCTGAGCCTTCTCGCCTCTAATGACTCTCTGTTAGCGCGCTGTTGTAGCCTTTAAATGAATCTACCTGTGTTTGTGCTGCCTCCAGGTGCCGCCTGCACTGTGCTGTTAGTCTACATGTTCTGCACCGACTGCTGGCTCATCGCTGCCATTTACACCGCCTGGCTCATCGTTGACTGGAACACACCGAAACAAGGCAAGACTGTAAAACTGTGAATTATAAATCGCTGTTGCCTATTAGGACCTGTCCAGGTTTAGCTCTCCTCTCACCCAGCTGGAACACTCTCCAGCCCCTCTGCAGGATGAAGCAGGCAGGGCAGATAGATGGATGGATGGATGTTACCTAGTCAGTCTGGTTTCTGGTCCACATGTAGAGAAGCATCACTGGTCTGATGATGATCGGGGTGAAATTTAGAGCTGAAGCTTGAGAGAAAACTCTAAATTCTAAAAATGAACATCTTAAAATACACTGATGAAGAACTGTGGTTAACAATTTTTAAATGGTGTGACGATACATGAATGGATGCTTCAGTCAGTTATTGGCATGATCACACACAGATGACTACACCAAGACTAACTGTGTGTTACCTAAGCACTGGGTAACCTATTTTGTAATGATTAGCACAAACAATGACTGCATTATGTTTTGAAAGGTTCCTACCTGAAAATCATATTACTGGGCATACGGTGTATGGACTGCATGGATCCATGAGGGCCAGTTGTGGTCTGTCAGACAATCAATACATTAGTTTTCATTTCCTTATTTACCCAGAAGCCTAGCAGCCCCCTACAGCGTGTTTTCATTGATTGTAAATTTTCTGGGAAGAAAAAGATCAAAACAAAATGAAGCAACCTTCAGTTTGGGTTCAGGTCATAATATGTTCTCACATTTTAGTCACTGATCATTTAGTTATTGTTGAAAATAACTGTATTTATGAGGAAACTGTCACTCACAGTCTTATTTCTGTGACAGAATAATACAGAGAAAACCTCAGTCTGGATCAAAAGATTGACAGAAACAAATAATCTTTACAACAAACAAAATAAATAGAAACTAAAATGGTCCTTCAAGTAGATTTTGATCCTTTTTTAAGACCGGACCCAGAGGTGACGGTTGGTATTTTCGTAGTGATTTATGAAACTAAAACTAAAACAGAGTGATTTTTTTGTGAGGGGTCTCTGGGCGGTTGGTAACCAGCCTCACAGCAGACGTTCAAGGAGGTCAGAGGCCGGATCCTAGAGACTTTAGAGATCCCTAACTTTCCCTTTTAAAGGTCAAAGTTCTCACGTTATCTAACGAAGCTTCAACGTGTTCTCCAAAGGTCACAATTTTAATCCGTCCACACTTTGGTTTGGAACCAAATAGCTGCTGAGTTCAGTCCAGTCGGGCTCTGCTGCGTTTTGTGTTTGGTGCTAATTAGCCAATCTGTTCACAACAACACAGATTCTTGTTACGGATTAGCACGTTAGCATGCTGGTGTTAGTGCAGCTTCACTGTGGCATGAGCATCACTGACTTCTTGTATTTAGCTTTGAATTGTACTAAAACTATTCTTATTTTTTTGATTGATTGGATTTCGTTTATCAATCACAACCGATTCACGTTCGCTTGTTCCAGCATCTCAGATGGGCTCATTAGTGTCACACAGAATGATGTTCTGATCTGTATGGCTACTTGTCTTGTCATTTAATGTGATTTTATTTTAATTGAAGTATAAAACTGATTTAGTCGGACAATCAATATGGAAGTCGCTGTTAGCTCCAGTTTGTAGTTTTGCTGTTTTGTGATATATAAATAAGGGATTTCTAACGTGTCATCTTCTCCTCAGGCGGCAGAAGGTCCTCGTGGGTGAGAAACTGGACAGTGTGGACGTATTTCCGAGACTACTTCCCAGTCAGGGTGAGTAAACGTGTCGTGATCCTGGTGTCCCATTGCTAATGGATCCAGCCTTAACCTTGACAAATCTGGAGCAGAGCAGAGGAATTAGGGCGTATGGAACAAAACCTGCCATTTGTTGGTGTCAGATAAAAAGTTATTATTGCACAAATTACCAGGAGTGCAAATGCTCGACACCGTAGATAAGCTTATCAGTATCAGCTGTGCGCTCCGGGCTGTCGCTGCCGATTGTGATGACGGCCTGATGCTGGTTGGGAGTTTTAGACTTTGCCCTGCTTGATAGTCTAAGAAGCAATGCGAAGCGTTTTTTCATCCCTCGGTGTGGTTGAGCGTCGTGTTCGGGGCAAAGGAGAGTGTGTTATCACCGCCTGGCACTGGCGCTGCACACAGCGGGTGGCACAGTAGCAGCACGGCTTAGCTGTCGCCCTGGAAGCAAGGAGTCAAGGTTGAAGTGTGTTTAAATGTTGGATATCTGGCATGTACTGCGTGATTCATTCGGCAGTCCTACTGAATCATAAAATTAGTCAGTTAGTCAATTACATCACCAGTAAAACACCTACCAATGACTGGGATCAGCATTTTTAGTCCTTTTCTAAACAACAAATCCAAACATTCTGGTCCCAGGTTCACCAAAGAAGTGGTTTTTAAAAATCTTGGCAAACTGTCCTCAAATGTATTCATAGCCTCCCATTAAAGAAGGAAAAAACAGCTTCAGTCACTGGAATAATAATTTTTAAAATTATTCTTTTCAACTACAATTCAAAAGCAATGTCTTATTTCACTAAATTATAATTTAGCAAATTTTTATTTATTTTTACTTTTTCCAGTTTATAGTTATTTGAGTGACTTTTGTGAATTTTGCCTTTTTTTTTTAATTGGAAGGGGACGACTGTGTATTTCTGTTTCATCTGAACAAAACAAGACATTTGATGACATTCCAAAAATATGTTTTATTTCATTATTTTTCTGATAACAATTGTGTATAAACGCTACAAATGTCTGTATTTGGTCAACTCAGCAACAAGAAAAACACAAAATCCTCATGTTTGAGAATCTAGAAATATCAACTATTTGACATTTTTGCTTAAAATTGGACTAAAATCTATTCATGTCCTGTCGAAACTCTACAGCTGTAATTAGACAGTATGATTTTTCAGTTAACATAAACACACAAGAAAGCCGCTGATGTAAATGAGCCTTACAGAAAAGTAACAGAATATAATTTAATCAATGTTCTTCTGTTAATGAATGATAATAATAAGGATTTTTTTGTTGACCCTTCAGGGTTTTAGACTTTCATGTTTAATTCCGTTGTTTCTCCACTTTATGTGACACTAGTGGTACCAAAGCAACCCGTAGACACCGACTGTTTATCTGGATAAAGCAACTCAGTGTGAGGAGAAAGGCTTCCTCTGCCCAGGTGTTGATGAGCTTATGTGCTGCACTGAGGGAAGTTTATTTGTAGAGCGCCTTTTAAAAGCACTTCAGAGTGCTTAGATGCATTAAGGTGAGATTTAAGGCGATATAAAAAGGCTTTAAAACGGTAAAATATAATATAAAACACTGATTTAAAATAACTGCTGGTAACAGAAACGCTCTAATCCCTGAGAAATGGTGCAGATCTCTAGTTTTCTGTAGGTTTGTTCCAGATATGGGACCGAGCAGATCTGTCCCAGACCACCAGAGAGGTCTGGATGGTTCCTAACAGAGCAGCAGATCAGGCATATATATTCTGACTTTAAAATCAATTCTGTAACAAACAGGATGTCGGTTGTAGAGAAGTGGAGTGACGCGATCAGCTGTCCCCGCTGGACCTTGTTCCTCATATTGATCCGTACTGTTTGTACCATGCTGCCGTTTGTCTTGGTGCTTTGATACCATCACTTGTTTGTCACACAGACTCTTAATGTCACTCTGTGCTCGTGGATCTCCTGTTTTAGGAGTTTTATTTTTGCTGCTATACATACATGAGCCACAGGTTGTTCTTAGATTTATGTCAACGTGAAGTTTTGGTGTGTGCATGAAGTCACTTTAAGTAGCTTCTTGCTGTTTTTCTGGCTCAAAAAAAACAAATTTCTGGAGTCATCAATTAGTTAAAGGGCAGACTTTCTCTATCTAGCACAAGTTTATGACTATTATTTATGAGTTGGAAGCCAGCGGTCAAAGTCTGAGCCAACGCTCAAGTCCAAGTGAGGAGGACTATAGGAAGTGTGACGCTGCTGCACCTCCCCTGGTCCCGCTGCGACCACATCATCATCTTCCAGTCCCGCCGCGCTACGGGGACCTTGAGTGTGATCTCCTTTGCTAATGTGATTATGCAACCGCTGTGTTTGACCAGCTACTAAGGGAACGCTGTGTACACATTGTGATGGATGTGAGTCTACAGCGCAGGTCAGGGCACTTCTTATGGGACTGAGCAGTTTTATAGCTTGAAACTGTGAGATTGAAATAATAGTGACGATAAAAGTTCCCTGCTGCCAGCCTGAACAGGTGTGCAACACGCACACTGTGTCATCATTTTATGACTGCGCTCGGGCAGAGGAAAGTCCTGTCTGGTTTCAGCTGATAAGGATGTCCTAGTTTTACTGAAAACAGATGATCGTCTATCATGTCGACTAATTCTTTAGTGTTTACAATTGAACATGACAACTAGAGCAGCCATGCAAATACATTCATTTACAGATTAATTGAAAATGTCAGACAGAAAGTGGATATAAGCCTGTTAAAGAACAGATATTTGAGTGTGCTGATGGGATGAGGCGCTGCAGCAGCACCGTAAATCACTGCATGGACACATTTTAAAGGTGATTGTTGAGCATTCTGTTGCCTAATGAACAATTTCTTCATTATTTAACTAGTTAGTAGGTTTACTGGTATTGATTTATAGTCCTTTTTTGGAGCAAAAATGATCTTCTAAACGTGAAGACCTGCTTTTTTTGGTATTAAAACCGTTGTAAATAAAATATGTTGGACTGTTGAGTCAGTCAAGACATCATGTTGGGCGTCAGGAGTATTTTGCATTGTTGTCTCGTCCTCTAAAGCTACTGATGAATGAATAAAAAAGAAAGGAATGGCAGACAAATCAGACAGTAAGAACAAGTATAGAGGATTAAAATTGACAAAACAGAAATGAGTAAAAAAACATGAACAGGATTAGTATAAACTGTCATTTTCATTCGTAATGAGCATTCGTGGAGTGGCTCTGAGCTTCCTGTGGCCATGTTTCTCACCAACATGACTTACATTAAGTATTCCCTACTGCAACTGTGCCCCCTTCAGTCAGTAAATCATCCTGACGTTGTTCCTTTTGTGCTATTGTCTTGTAGCTAATTAAAACCCACGACCTGCTGCCCAGCCGGAACTACATATTTGGCTACCACCCCCACGGCATCTTCTGTTTTGGGGCTTTCTGCAACTTCGGGACGGAGGCCACGGGCTTCTCCAAGAAGTTCCCCGGCATCAAGCCCTCCCTGGCCACCCTGGCGGGAAACTTCCGCCTGCCCGTCCTTCGAGACTACCTGATGTCTGGAGGTGAGACCGTTTGGCAGCCGTGACGTCTTGTTTGAGTTCTTCAAATGTCTGATAACTGTATCTGTCCCTGCGCGGGCCTTTGCCCTGTTGCACAACTGCAATAGCCTGTGTTTACTTGGATGTGCTGAGTCCAGTGATTTATAGAGCTTCAACTGTTCTGAGGGGCTGTTTGCTCTTCAGGCTTCATCTTTGCACTTAGATACTGTATAGATTCTCTCCGAGGTCACTGTAGGTTATTGTACACCGTGTACATGTCCTTGGTGGGCAGCTCTCATTGGCTTAACTTCTTTGTGTAATTTGCACCAATCATTTGTTTTTTGAAAACTATGCTTGATTTATATTTAGTTTTTTTGCACATGCTAAACAGTTTGGTTCTACT